CGGGAACGGGGGAGGGAAGGGAGGAGGGAGGAAGGGAGGGAAGGAGAAAGGAAGGGAAGGAAGGAAGGGAAGGAGAAAGGGAAGGAAGGGAAGGAAGGGAAGGAAGGAAGGAAGGAAGGAAGGAAGGAAGGAAGGAAGGAAGGAAGGAAGGAGTCTACAGTACTGACAGGAAGGAAGGAAGGAAGGAAAGAAGGAAGGAAGGAAGGAAGGAAGGAGTCTACAGTACCGACAGGAAGGAAGGAAGGAGTCTGCAGTGCCGACAGGTATCACCAGTGACTGCAGCCAGGGTTCACCCATAGGTGAGATAGTTAGCACTGATGAAGGCAGTGGCTGTAAGGATCGAGTGCTCTATTGAAAATTGATCAATGCGATTCAATGCTCAACTATTAAATCAGTTTGTGAAACTGATTACTTTGTTGGACACACTTGGCAGCCAACATAACATCAAGTTATCCCTCATTTTCTTCCCTTTCCTCTTCACTATCCAGCCTGCTCCCATCCAACCCTAACCCAGCTCATCACCAAGGTCAGAAATCAGCCTTTCCCACCCTAAGAGCACAAACTTAAATTCCTCTCCTTTGATAGGCATAATTTTCACAAAAAACACCCAGAAACTTAATAAAATGTCACATATCTTATGCCCTCAAATAGGGCAGAAATAAATACAGACACATTATACATGAGAAAAATCTCCCCCTTATATTTTTCACTGTGAGAGTGGATGAACAGTGTAACAGAAGTTGTGCTCTCCATCCTTGGAGCTTTTCAGGACTCTGCCCTGAGTGACCCACTGCAGCTGTCCCTGCTCTGAGCAGGGCTTGGACACTCTCCAGAGATCCCTTCCAACCTCAGCTCCAATGTGAGTCTGCAGTTTTCGTGGACTGTAACAAACCCAAGGGAGTTCACATCAAAGGAAAATGAAGCGGGTCAAGGAGCAGGTTCAGGGGTCAGGGCAGGACACAGGGTCAGGAGTCAGGTAAACAAAGGTGTAATAAATCCATGGCCTGGTCTCGTCAGCCTTCATCATTTATTCAGGAATGTAAGTACAATTAAGTGGCTTGGGCTATTTGCCTTAAAAACCCACTCAAGAATGTGAGCAGGAAAGTGGAAATGGAACACTTAAAAAAATCCATCAACCATAGTCCTATAGATACTCAAGTTAAAACACCAACCTCTTAACTTTCCAATGTAAAATCTTATAAACAAAACTTGTATACAGAAAAAATAAAAACTTTCCAACAGTGGATGTAGAACTCCCAGACCCCAGAGAAACACTCATTCCTTAGTAATCCAGGAGCTATGACCAAGATGTTTGTGTGCTGGATGACAATGGGCCAAGCTTCCATTTACACAGTTAGTTTAACATGTCCTTGTTTGTCGAGTTCCACAACAGTTAAGTTCTTTCAGGATTTGTATTCTTGAGTCAGTGGCTCATCTGGTTCATGTGTGAAACACAGTGCTTCCCTGTAAGACAAAAAAACTCTTGAGCAAAACTGGGATCAAACATCAAATCTGGCAGAAAAAGGCTAAAAGCACATAAGGAATGGGTTTTGTGCTCCGTAATTCTTATTCTACAAACACCTTTTCTGTGCTGCTTCAAATCAGGGAAGTCATTTGCTAATGATTCCTTAGGGTTACAGAGACAGAACTCCTGAGTTAAAACTGTGTCAGCAGAACCTCCCTGAACAGACCCAGTTTGAGGCATCTGTACAGTGAAACAAAGTGGAAAGGTCTGAAGAAACCGATGAAAATAACCAAACAACTTTTACACAGTTTAATTTAGAGGGTTTTGTATGATTTTGTACCTAACCATGTGTAGGGAGGAGAAGTCAAATCATGAAGTTATACCACGGCAGTGAAAGGTTAACTGGTTTTGTTTAATTTGAAAAGGTTTAATTTCTTTACAGTTCATAAAACTCTTACTAATGAATCTCTTTAAGTCTTAATTGTTCCTGTTCACATTGGAGTGGTTAAGAAACCACTGCAGGAAGAGTTCAGGTTTGCTGCTATGACAGGATTTATGATGCTCCTGGGTCCAGTCTCAAGTTGGAATTGCAGTTCTAAAAGATTGGAAATAGAAGATATTTGTTTCTCCAGAAATTCAGCCAAAGATAGGAAGTACTTCCATTACTGTTTACTAACCCTTGAATGGGTCTGAAGGAAGATTCTCCAGCAAGAGGAAGGCGAGAAGGAAGATACTCCCTCCAAACCATCACAGACCCAGTGAAAAGTCCTTTAATTTGAGATCTGATGTGCATTGATACATTTGGTCTGTCAATGATTAGTTGGTTGTTGTTTTAAAACAAACAAAGAAAGCCCAAGCAAAATTCCTCTCTGTAAGTTAGGATAAATGAACTTGAAAAGAGCTGTTTCTATGATAAGATTTGTGCACCATTTATTCCAGACCTTAACCACAACAATATCCACCTCAATCCCATCAAAAGCAACAAACTCCCAGAAACATGACAACTCTACATGGAATGTGACTAAGGGCTCAGGTTCTTGTAGTAAAGTATAAATTCTTCACATCAAAGCAGTAGTTACTGGTGCCTGAGAGTGAAAAGAGTGAACTTTGTGCATCTCAGGCTCTGTAAGAAGAAAACAGTGGGAAGTTTATTTCCTCAGCACTTACCTTCAAGTGAGCCAGGGACAGTAGATCCTGTGCAATGTGGCTATATAAATAAACAAAAGATAATGTCAGGATTAATTAGCATTTTGTTTAGAAATCATTTTTCACACTTTGATTTCTGCATGAGTAATTACATGTCACCACTGGGTAACCAAAGATCTGCAGCCACTGAAGGCAACAGCAAATCCTTAGGGATTAAACAAGGTTTCAAATAAAATTAAAATGAATACAGAAAGGTGAATATATAAGTCAGATGAGCCTCTTCAGCTTTCTCCTTTGCATTCCAGTACGGATCCAGCTGAGAGCACTGCATAATTCACCTCACTTAATATTTTCTTTTTAATATGAGACCAAATATTTGCAGGTGATCACATTGGGACTTTGTGCCATGGGAGAATATCTGACTTTTCAACACATCTCAGTTTAGATCTGCATCCTGCTGCATTACAGTTAGAAAATGTTGTTGCTCAGCTGCCCAAATCCATTTAATATTTCACAGGAAATTAAATTTCTCTCCACTTTGTTCTACACTGGTTTGAATCGATTACATTGTTCACTCTCACACAAAGGTTCCTTATCTAATGTATAAACAGAACAAGAGGATTGACAAGAACAACCAACTACATCCCTGAAGAGAAACATAAACATATCCTAATTAAAACATCAGGGGAACAAAGTCTTCCATCCAAGCTAATTTTTTCCTTTGTGGACAATGTAATTGGAACACATAAAAAAACTTAATCTGCACACAATAAAAATGAAAAGGTTTGTTAGAAACTTTAGTCCCATTTCTGAAAAATTCCATTCACTTGAGAGGTATAAAGTCACAAAAACAGCTCAGCCTTCAGCTAAGCTGGGCTCAGGATTAATGGTTTCTGGGATACTGACACTCCATGGCCTAATTACCTTTACCACTGGAGATTCCATTTCTTTCCAAATCTGGCAGCTGAGCTGCTGTACTGCAGTCTGTTCTGCTGCTGACAGAGGTGTGCTCTAGGAAAAAAAAAAGCAAACACAGACACTTTCAGTTCCTGAGGTGATGATATTTACAGAAGAACTCAATGTTTGTATAGTCTTTCCCTCATGGAAACTGATACTAGACTCCTACTTCCAGTGAAAGCAAATTTACAAGGGAAGTATTTCTGGAAAATCCACCACAATCTTTCTTTAGCATCAGTGCTACAAATTATTCAGGTAAGATAAATTCCTCATTAAAAAGTAAGTATTTCACTTAAAGACTTATATTTCTCATAACAGTTTAAATCATCTTTGGTTTAGGAAATATACAAAATACAAGAAAATATCTAAAAAGTCTAACTATAACCCAAGAGAGAAGAGTTTTCCATTTTAACAAAATCCAAATATGAAATTATGCTTGGCAAACATAGGGAAAAAATCTATTCTCCTTTCTGTGACACATAACCACTGTCTTTTAAATCATTAAACAGTCCATTTTGGCTATAAACACTTCCCAGTAACTTGAGCTGTTGACAGATAAACAGTCTCAAGCACTGTCATTAGAACACTGATCCAAATCACCTTATCTGTAGAGGGACATAATTAATGCTTCCACAGCCTCTTCACAACTGTAGTGAAGCAATGTCTGAAGGCCACTGAAGAAAATGTGTTGCTTGTTGCTGTTTTTTTTTTAACAGAGAGGCATCATCCTAGTGAGGAAAAGCTTAGCACTTTGCCCTATCAGCAATTCCCCCACCTGTGTTACCATGTGTTGGTTTGAACTTACTTCAGACAGTGAAAACACATTTGCCATTTCAAAGCTTTTTCTGCCTTTTAAAATTGGTTTCACTTTCTATTTTCTTTACGGTGGTTACTGGTCAAAGATGTCAGTACAGCCCTGGGACAGCTGTGAACAGACAGCAACCCCTCTGAGACTATTCCAACGTGTGCCAGGCTGCTCACACCACTCCAAAGCTGAACCCCACTAGCTCCAGTCCTCCAAGAGCTCCAATCCTGCAAGCATTTCCTCTGGAAAACCATCTTCTGCCACACAGCAGTTTCCAATGGGACTACTCACAGCACAGAGAGGTTACAAAGGTTCATGCACAGCAGTGAGCCCCAAGTGATTGAGATGACAACACTACCTCGAGGTCAGTGCGTTCCTGCAGTGCCTGAACTATCTTCATTGTGTGCTCCAGGGCAGTGCGGATGCCCTGCATGGATTCCTTCTGCTCCTTGGAAACTTTTTCCAGCTGCATACAGAGTGTTTTGTAACGGGATTTCATCACGGCCAGTTCTTGCAAGACAGTGACTGGATTCTCCTATGTAGAGAGTAAAAGTACATTTCAGCTGTGCCAGGAGAGAAAATTAATGTGGCCAAATATCAATTAGAAGTGTTAGAGCACTAAAATATAACAGGAAATCATCCCTTACAATGAGAAGTGTGTGATTTTTCTGCTGTGTGCTACAATATGCACAGAGCCAAGGACTTATAAAATCCATTTATTGTTTTCCTCTTCCTCTCATTCCTCCCCCAAAACCTGAATTTAGTCACTGCTTCTCAGCAAGTTTATCTCAGATCTCACAACAGAGGTGAGTTTTGGCTCAGATTGGAATCTGTCTCTTGAATTTAGGTGTTAACAATACCAACTTCTCAAAGCAGAACATGGGAGATTTT